GTTGCTCCCCTGATGAGCTGACAGTTGACGATTAGTTTAATACAATGACCGTATTTTTCAGCTTCTGCTTTGAACCCTGTCAGGCTGAGGTGCTGCAGGACAACGAGGTGTTCACTGTCAAGGATGGAGCAACCCCGTAGCCCTTGGACGTGGCCACCAAGAGATGATGCTGCTCACCCAGAAGATGATGGGCAGCTAGGAAGACTCTCTGGTGAGCAGCATCCCAGACCTTCCTCCTCCTCCCAGCCCTTCCCCAGCAGCATAACCTGGGTACAAGGCTCACTGGGGATGAAGAACTCCACCAAAGACCACTTTATTGCATTAATATTTGCTGGTAATGAAGCTAGCTAGCACTTAGAGCTCCAATCAAATTAGGAAAGCTATAATGAACAAGAAGTGGTGCATTAATTCATTAGCAGGGAATTACGCTAAATTATCTCAGCAAATACAGCAACACTTTAATTTACTGGCGGTGTTTTCAAATGGCTTTTGCTCCTTTGTCTCCATTTACATCACGGCACACTTTTTTCTGGCAGCAAAAAACCACAAGAAGCGAATTAACTCCAGCTCCTTGGGGAGATGCTTTTGTCTCTCAGACGGGGGAGAAATTCCCAGAAGAGATACCAGAAGTTTTCCTTTTCAGCTCCTCCTCCAGGTCTAGCCAGGAGAAAATGGATATTATTTACAACAAACAACTGAAGTGCTCAGGAAACATCTTTGCAAAGGTCACTGCTGGTAGAAGTTCCACCAGCAGCATCCCAAGGCTTAGAATAATGCTCTGCTTTGCTGATCACCACAGAAAGGAGAAAAGGAGGGGAAAAAAAAAAGGTGTATCAATTTCCTTGCACGTATGCAGCCAGGGCATTAATAATGTACATCTTGGGGAAATTACCTGATACTCAGCTGCCAGTTTGTACATGCTTAATGCATAAAGTCAGGCATGAAAAATGCAATGTCCTCTTTAATATCCACAGACCTGTGTGGCTGAGAAAGGACACAACTCGTGTCACATCCTCAGCCTGACACGACTCAAGAAATAGACCCCTGGGCCCTTCTCATCCAGGCTCATCCCACTTAGGCTGGTCCCTGCCTGCAAGAGCCAGCCCCACGTAACATCAATGATGGAAAAGCTCCTCTTGTAGGTCCCCTCTCCCTACACCTCTTAGCTTTAAAAAAGAAAAAAAATAGAATATGACTTCTAAAAAGCACCAGAAGGTATTTTTCCTGGGTGGTTCGTTGTTTTGGGTTTTTTTTTCAGTAAAAGGAATATTTATTTTTAATGAGCTTCCCACACGGCTCCAGGAGCTGCTGATGCAGGGACGCTTCTGCAGCAGGAGAGCACAGCTAAAGCCCCTGAGCTGGGGGTCAAAGCCCAGCCAAAAAAAAAGCAGGGTAAGGTCCAGAAGACATCTGGGGCAGAAAGAGGACCCTTGGGACATCAGGGAGCTTATTCACAGGGGTAAAACAGGGGTGGGAAGGAGCACCCATTGCACCACCACAGGGCACGGGTGCCTGTAGCCTCCTGTTCAAATGACCAGGTCTGCAGCGTTCAAGGCAGGAGGGATTTTGGCTTGGAGAAAAGAAAAAAAAAATAAAAATAAAAGCAATAAACAAGGCTGGGAAATCTTTGGGCTGCACAGATGTACCTCCCTGCAGCTGCAGGTCTCCAGGAACCAGGTTTTATTGGTGTTTAATTGCAAGTCAGGCAGCTCAGGGACAACGGGGGAGGCTCCTTCCTTTCAAAACTGGAAAATAAAACCCCATGAAACGAGACCCTGATCTAAGCGACCTGGAGTTTTCAATCAGATTTGGAAACTTCAGTTGCCTTACTGTTTTTTGCCTTTTTTTTTTTTTTAAAGCTATCTACCTTAGAGACCAGGAATCCTTCGCAGAATGGTCCCTCCTGCTGGGTGGCAGCACCACGAAGGGGATAGTCCCATGGGATGGACTCAAGTGCCTCAAGGCTTGCCATGTCAAATACCCTGCTTAAAAATAAGCTGCAGCCCCTTGTGAACATACCCAGCAGCTGTAAAATTGCTGTAAGAAGTACCTGATCCTTCTCCTGCACGGTAAATTATTTTTTCTTTTAATTAATACCTTGAAGGCCACTTATAAGCCTATCACCAACATCTCCACACAACCGGGCGCTTGGAGGGAGCTGGAGACACGCGCGAATAACCGCAATGCATCCTCGTTCACGTTATTAATTCCTGCAAATTGATCGCTCTGCCAGCATCTTACAGCTTCCTAATTAAGTCTTTGCTGAGGCTCTCCTGTGTGTGAGGGAAAGGAACGCTGGTGGAGTCCAGAAGCAGCAGTTTTGGGACTGGGGCCGATGGGGCTCACAGCTGGGGAAGAGCATCACGTCCCAGGTGCTGTCTTCTCTTCACCCCCCAACAATGTCACCTACAGGAGGTCTCACAGCCCTTGGGGACAGGAGAGTGGCACCTGGCACCACCCAGCTCTTAAGAACCTCCAGTGGCAAATTCCTGCTGGGTCCCTCAGTTGGATAAACCCTCCATCACCCTTCCCCAAGACACCTTTGCTCCCTGAGCTCCTTCATCTGCCTGCAGCAATGCCAGCTTTGGGAGTCTTAGCTCGGGGATGGAGTTCTGGGAGCAGTTTCTCCACCAAATCCTTCTCCTCCTTGGCCTTTCTGTTTGATTTTTATCCTGGTAAGTTTTGGGATCAAAAGAGGATCCGAGCAAAGGCTGAGTGATTAGTGCTAATAGGACACCACAGTGCTTGGAGCCCAAAACCCAGCCAGATTTCCTCCCCACCTCCTAAGCTGGATGCTGAAGTCCTTAGAGGGGAGAAAAGAAGGCCTATGGTGATGGTTACCTCCATAGACCCTGCACCAGAGGAGGTCACAAGCCCACAGCTTGAATTAAGAAGAAAGAACCACAAAGCTTGGCTTGTTTATTAAGCTCCTCATGAGTCTGGGATGAGAGGTGGTGGTGACAGCACATGTTGGGATTTCACAGCTGGAAGAGCTTGCAGAAGATGTGACACCCAGAGGAGCACAGTCCATCAAACCCCAGTGGCACAGGACAACAGTGACAAGAGCAGGTGGCAGTTTACTTCAGAAGGTGAGAAGAAAGTGACTTTATAGATAAATGAAGAGCCTCAAGACAGACGGTTGAGAGCACCATTCACATGGGGCTGCCCATACAGGACAAGCTCCAGTTCCCACCCAGGGGACAGGGTTTTTGTACCCCTGTGAAGAGCACCAAGAACCTTTTGGAAGTCTAGCACCACAGCCTGGCCACACACTCAGCCCATCCTCACAGTGCATGGCACCCTGTCAAGGTGAAAATTAAGCAAAAAAATGGATTTTAATCTTCTGTAGCTCCTTGAGGAAGTAGCTTGTGCATTAAACATAAAGGCTGACAGCTTGATCCGGGAAGATTTTCGCCAACAGAAAAAAAAAAATAATAAAAGCTTACATGGCAGCCTCATTTTTCCACCTGATTATTTCAGCTCAGCTGCCCAACTCATTGAAAACAGAAGCAGGAAACATTTGCCCTGAGCACATCATCCCTGGGCTTTCAAACTGAGCTTACCCAGGGAGGGGGCTCCTGCTCCTCACCCAGCCTGAGCCCCCAGAGTGCCAGTGCCAGGCTCATCTCGGGGTGCCGGGGAAGGTTCTTTTGCAGGTCTGGAGCCACAAAAACCTTGCTCAGTTGTAAGGAGAAGCAGCATCACTAGACCACATCCCAACAGCCAGGGGATCAGCAGCCCGAGAGCTTCAGGGCAGAAGAGCTGCTTTCCAGCCTTCAGCTGCCAAATTGCAGTAATGCCTTTAGCAGCAGCAATTTTTTTTTAGAATTGCAGTAATGCCTTTAGCAGCAGCAATTTATTTTTTTTTTAAGAGGCAAAAGCAAAGGACCAAACACATGAGAGCTACTGTCACCGCTCTGAACCAGCCTTGCAGCTTTGCCCCCTTTTTACTCTTTACCCACAGCCAAGAGCAGTTTCCTCAGCTCAGAAAAGGCTGTTGCAAACACCAGGTTGTTCACTCCTCCCAGGATATTAAAAGCAAGAACACGAGGCATAAGTTCATTCAGATCAGAAGGATGGAGGGGAGACAACAGCCTTGGGCATTCTCCCTGCAAAGCCCAGGAGGGTCACCAGCACCAACCAAGCCCCACTTGTTCTTCAAGGAACCTGCCCCCATTGCTGTGCTCCCCCAGGAGCACAGGGTCCTGCACTCCATGAAATAAGTCAAGTAGTTCACCTTACAGCCACGTAGATAACCTTTACACCAGGTAGGACCTCAGAGCACGCGGCCCTCCAGCCATGGGATAAGAAAATCCCACAGCCTCCAGGTTGGCCTAGAGGTGACCATCACTCCCAGGGTGTCCTCTGGGGCATGGGCCTGCAAGTGGCACACAGCCCAGGGTAAGTAAACCTCTTCTGAGAAACATCTCTTACTCCACCTCTTGAGAAGCACCACTGGTGGAAAACTCACCACATCAGGAACTGAGACAGCAAGAGTTCATACTCAGCTTGAACCACACCAGGCAGAAGACACCTCAAGCTTAAGTCAAGAGGTGAGAATAAGCCTATGTTGTGCAGGAGAGAAAGCCACAGAGCAAGGAGAGTGATTTCAAAGAGCTTTAAGGCTTGTCTTAGGCATGTTGACTCCATGCAAGTATGATGAGGACTCCTGGGCCCCATGGCTCAGCTCCTCCAGCACACCAGGGACAGAGTCCCCAAGGCTGCTGCAAAGAGATGACAAACTAGGTGATAACTCCATACCTACTGAACATGGGATTCCTCCCACCCTGTAGATTTCAAAAAAGAGTCTGTTGACAATGGGAGAATCACTAGATATCACTATTTGTCCTCTAACTGGTAGAAGCTTACCAGCTTACCTGGAAGACAATGCATGAGCACAGCCCCAACTCTCACCTGAGCAAACCCTGACTGCTGTCCCTCCACCACACTGAAGACACAAGGCAATGAATGAAACATTGCCATTTATTACAGTTGGGCATTTACAGAGACACTCCAGGAGGGCAGCTGCATCATCTGCACCAGAGGAACACACCAAGAGCAATCAAGGTCAACACAGCAGCCGCTATGAGAACAGCAACTTGGACCAGCACAGGAAGACCTTCAGCAGCACCTGGAAGAGGGAAAACGAGGCACTTACTCCACATTCAATGATTTTCCACCATCCATCAGGCAGCTTTGGGCAGAAAAAACACTGTGTCTTTGGGTAATCATCCTGGTAATTACTTGTCCAGGTTGGAAATCAGGGGGGATTCATGACTACATCAACCTGGAGTCACCTGGCAGTTGACACCTGAAGGCACCTCAAGTCAAACCAAACAAGACAGAACACATACCAGGTGGGGTCTTCCCTACTGGGGCAGGACCTCCTGAGGAAGTCCACAATTCCTGAGCTGGATCAAGGATCACTAGTGGTCCAAGGGAGACTTCAGCCTCTGCCACCACGGAGGATCCACCTGACAAGAGATGGACAGGAATGAGATCACCAAGGGGGGAACTCCTGCTTCATCTGCATCTCAGGGCTCACAGGAGGGAAGACCCTGCCAGAGCAGCTTTCTGGTAGTTCCAAACAGAAGGACACCCAGACTCTGGTACTTGAACAAGGACACCAGAGAAGAGCTTGGCTTCTCCTTCAGAGGACATGCATCTGCTGAAGCTCTTCCAGCACCTTGGCCATCCCAGCCTGGAGGGTCAGCCTGCCTCCAGGGGACAGTTTGGACACACAGAGCCTTACCTTGCTTGGAAGGGATGTCTCTCTTCAAGCGCCTCCTGGACCACCTGGCTGGAGAGTGGATTCTCTGGGAGTATCCTCCATGCAATGGACAGTTGCCTGTCTCACAGCAGCTGCAGATGTCTCCTGTGCCCTCCACTGGAGCCCAGCTGAAACAGAATCACCTCTAAGCCTGTCTTCTCCAGGATGGTCCCCTCCCCACCTGCACCAGCTACTCACAGGCTGCTGGCCTTGTTGAAGGAACAGGCCTTGTTCCAGGGACTTGGGGCTTGGTCCTCTGGGGAGACCTTCAGCTGGCAGGTGAGATAGATCTGGAAGGGACAGGACACCCACAGCCAAGGGTCATGAGGTCTGTCCAAGCAGAACAGCAGGGCTTCTGGACATGCTGGGGGAGCAGGGGCAGGCACCACATCTCACCAAGTTCCTCTCATCTCCTGCAAACTTGAAGGCATCCACTGTGAAGCGCAGCGTGTCCTGCCTCAGCCTTGGAGAGATGAAGGCTGAGGAGCTGTCCTCTGATCTCCCATCCACCAAGCACCTGCCCCAGGGCCACAAGAGTCACAGACATGCCGGCCACCTCCAGCAGCACCCCCAGGACCCCAGCACACCCCTTACCCGCCAAGCTCAATCAAGGCATATCGGGGAGAGGAGGTCCTGTCGGGACTCAGGGTGGCCACACACTCATCCACAAAGAGCCTCAGGGGGACATGGCCCCCAGAAGCCACAGCAGCCTCCAGGTGCAGCCTCTCCCCCAGCTGGAAGCCATTGGAGACTCTCTCAGTGCTCCAGTCATCTGGAAGGCAGAGCCAAGCCTACAGGTCACTTGGGACAACAGCACATGGCCCTCCCAACGTCCCTCCTTCCCTCAGGCCATCTCTTCTCTGAGCAGCAGCCCCAGGTCTCCCTCCTGCAAGGCTGCACTGGAGCCCAGCTCACAGCTCTCCTTGGCTGCTCAACCCGTGGCCCAGACCCAGCAGGAGCAGGGACCTGAGGGACACGGGGCTGTGGGGGCTGCACCCACCGGTCAGGAGGCGCAGGGAGAACGTCAGCCTCTCCTCCGCCAACAGGGTGGAGCGGAAGGGAGCCCACGTGGGCCGCACACCGTGGCTGCTCACATTGCCCTTCCTAAAGGGAAGAGAAGACACAAGCCTTGACACACCAAGTCCACCCTCACCTCGCCTCCACAGGAGCACAGACACAGCCCCCAGATCCTCACCTGGGGTAGTGACACTCAATAGGAACCACAGCAGGGTTGGTCCTTACAATCCCCAGGTTGCCAGAAGGAGTAGGCTTGTAGGACAAACTGGTTTTGTAGATCAAGGAGTCAGGGGTCAGCTGGAAGGAAGGTTTGGGAGAGCTCCAAGTCAACCACAACCTCAGCACCATCAGCCACCCAGCACTGACTGGGCTAGGACACAGAGGTCCATCAGCTCAACAGGCTGTCTTCCCCATTCCCAACCCAGCACACACAGGGTGCCATGAAGCTTTGATGGCATCCCAACGAGGTGCCAGTCCTGGTGGAGGTCAGGCTCACGGACATGGCCACTCCAGCAAGCACCCACAGCAGGTGGGCAGGGGCTGGAGGACCAGAGGTCCTCAAGCTTCCTCCCACAGCTCAACTAGGCCACACCACCTCCAGGCAGCCCTTCTCCTCTCCTCATCAGGAGGTCACCAAGTTCCCAGCAAGCCCCTTGCCCAACTCCCCCACACACACTCACTGCACTCTCAACCTCTGCCCACCTCTCCCAGCTACTCCTGCATCCATTTCATCTCTCTCAGCCCTGAAACCACCACAAGCCTTGATTGCTCTTCTGTGTGCACCTCACCCAGGGCTTGAGGGTAGCACCCACACTCCAAAGACCAGCTCTCCTATGGCCACACACCACTCACTGGAGACTTGCTGCAACCAGGTGAGCCTCTCCTCACCCCAAATCCTGACATCAGCTTCAGAAGGTCACTTCTAGGACCAAGACCTTCACCAAGAAGAATTGGGCAGCATGACAGCACATTCCTCTCCAGCCATTCCCATTGACCCACCCAGCACTGCTCAGAACCCAGAGGAAGGACCATTCCCTGCACACCAGCACCCCAGATGGAGCAGCCCCTCAGCCCAGCATCCCACCTCACCTGCAGGCTGCTGCCACACTCGTGCAGCCCAGCCACAAAGGTCACCCTGCTCTCAGCAGCACCCTGCCCCACCG